ACCATACTGCAGGCGTGAAAATTTGGGGCAGTGGGCGAAAGGAAAAAATGATTACGATGTCTAAAAAATCGAGGAAAAGCGTTTCAGATACATTTGATTCCAAGGCTCTGAGTGAGGAAGACTTGCCTGTCACACGTACTATCACCATGGAATGATTAAGGGCCTCCCAGTAGCTGAGCATAACAGTACCTGGAAAGATGGGTAAAATGCCCCCCCCCCCCCCAAAAAAAAAATAGAGTTAAGCCTATTTATTTATTGCTATTTTCTTGGTTCTGCTCCTCAGGATTGTGCATATTGTTAGCTTGAAGCCGAATCGCCAGCATTAAAAGATTATGTGCCCCAGCCAGTGATGATCAGCCACCACCTGGGAAGAAAGCTTCACCGCCAGCTGCTGCTACACCACCACCACCACCACCACCTCTACTCAGCTTCACAAGCTGCAGCAGAAAGCTGCCAGTTTCGCAGTGGCTCGAGTGCCACTAAATGGTACAGGGGCAAGAGTATTTGCTACCCCCTTTGCCAAAACCATCGCTGCAGAAAAGGGAATTGATTTAAAGGTACAGAAAAATATTTTTGTTTATAGCAATAAAACTAGACCAAAAATATGCATAAGGGAATTAAAGAGAGAAGTGAAAAAGATGGGACTAAAGGCAGTAAGTAAAGTAAAGGACCCTTTTCTACGCCTTTAGTCTTATAGGGCATATAGGGCTAGACCTTTTTTTCTAGACCAGTCGGCAGAAGATGGGGGATGTGGTCAGCATCACACCGCTACAGGCAGTAGTTAAAAAAAAGTAAGGCCTCTGTTTTTGTTGTTGTTGAGTTTTACTGAAACATTCTCAGAATTTCACAGATAAAAAAACGGTGAAAATTGAAATTCATATTGTCTGTTTGCAGTCTAGGGCCCATTTTTGCAAAATAAAGAATAAGCCCACTGCCTAAGAAGCAGTTAGGGGTGTTTGCTAAAATTGAATATGTTGAGATGAAAGGCATAGGTATTGCAGCCTTGCTGTAAACCGCAACATGGTGTGTCAGAAGGAGAACAAACATTTATTCATAATCTGAACACCAAAAAAAAACTGGCTGGTAAATAAATAGCATCATGCTTCGGAAACAGAAATTCTTCAACCACATTAAATGCCACAGTATCCCTTTGTGGGTTTGGGGAGCAGTTGCGGGTTTGGGGTGCAGTTGTGGGGGGGGGGGGGAAGACCTACTGCCACCCTGACAATCATGCCGTACAAGGCAACTAGTTAAGGGTGTTTCATTCTATGTCAGAGTACCAGTTGGTCTCTAAAATGTAGGTGTGGCACTACCTACCCATTATGCCTGGGTTGTGGAAAAGGGCTTCTTTACTTCACTTTACTCTGAGATTTGGTGATGTTTTTTCTTCCAGGTATATTTTGCTTTATATTACATTTTATAACATTAGGCTTTAATAGCATAGTACAGGGCCATTCAACTAAATTTACTCACCGACCCCAAAAAATGTTGAAAAATAGCCAAAATGCTGGAAAAAATGGGATCACCATGGGCCACAGGCTTGAGTACCAACACAGACACATCATTAATACAGTTCAATTGGCAGGTGTTTTGTGGGCCACTTGCTTGGGCTCTGTAGGCCAGATTTTGCAGGCTGCCAGTTGGATAGCCCTGGCATTGTGGCTAGATGCTCACCTGTCAATCCTGAATATCATGGGTTAAAAAACAACATTGTGGGGAGTTTTTGTTTCAGAAGTGACCATGGTTACCAACCAGGTCGATGGTGGTAGAATAGGTGCCAGGTAGCGTTCAGAGAAAGCCAGGGTGATGTTTAATTATCACCCTGCGAGTTCTGATTGGTCTGTCCTCTGACATAACAAGGTCCTTTTTGTTGTTGACCCCAGGCTGTAGCAGGTAGCGGCCCAGATGGCCAGGTACGTGCAGCTGATGTTCTGCAAGCAACACCAGGTGTATCAGTCCCAGGTGTGTCTGCTGTTGCACCTGCAACGTCCCAGAGTTTTGTTGATTTCCCACTCTCAAACATGAGACAGGTAATGTGTCTTAGTTGTGTTTTATTTTTTCAGTCATTTAATGCCAGTTTTACAGTTTAAAAAAAGTTTTCTTTCTTCTTCTTCTTCTCTTCCCATTTTATGTTCTGATCCCCAGGATCATGGGTTATTCAGTCTATCCATCTTGGTTCCAGAGCACCTATGGGGGGAGGGGGAGAATGGACCATGGCCCCTTACACAAGCATGCCATAAAGGCAACTAATTAGGGGTTCCTGAAATCAGTTGCTGGGCCAAAAGTTGCAAATTTTGCAGTCTTATTGTAAACCACAACACAGCGTGCCAATCGCCCTTTTAATGGGAATGCCGTAATTTTTACTCTTATTATCTGCATATTAAATAGAGTAATGAAACAGTCTGACTTTCAGCAGTTTATATCTTTCTTCTTCCTAAAGTCCATGCCGTGTAGCGTTGGTAGTCGTGTCTATCCACAAGCTTCCATCTCATGTACTTTC